ATAATAATATTTATTATTATTATAATATAATAATATTTATTATTATTATAATATATCTATATAATAATAATTCTATATAATAATAATTATTCTAATAATTATTCTAATAATTAATGAATGGCTAATAATTATTTTATTATTAGTCATTCATTGCGTGAACTAACGTTTCGATTCCCACAGGTGTGAAACATTCGCCCTCGGCCTTTTCGCATTTGGACGCGAGGACCACGAGGAGAAAAAGGACGACACAGATGACGGAGAATGCGACGATATCCGTCGTGACATTCCTCAACGTGATACCGCGGAGTTTCGCATCCGAAGCGTCGAAATTGTCGTTGCTCGTTGCCATCCAGAAGACTTTGTACAGGATCAAGTCCTGGAAAGAATGAACGATGAACGTCGTGTTTCGTTACCTCGACCAAATATTGCGACACTCGAAATTCCAACAAGATGAATTTCAACAAGCAATTCTGACAAAGAGATTTTGCCTTTTTAATCCGAGCGATCTTTCTGTCAGATCGATTGACAACTAGGTTATTTCATTGTCGTGGAACGAGAAGGTTAATCAACGTCTTACCCGTAAGTACATGGAAATTTGATGGATTATCAACCGCACGAGATAATAAATGTCGCTCAGGTTGTCCATCATTGTTCCCCACTGACTGATCATCACGGACTCGATTGCAGGTTCATTCGTCTTCTCGTGGATTCAGTGGGAATTTGTCAAGCCATCTTTTGCCGGGAAGATCTCACGTTGCTCTGCCCATTGCCCAGAATTTGACAAAAGCTTCGCGATCCAGCGATTCGCTATCATTTGTCATGGAGAGATCGATAGAGGAAAACAGTATTTGAATGAAGTTTCATTCATTTCTGTCGACGCACATAAGTTCCAATTTTCAGTAATAACAAGTATCAATCACAGCTGATAAGTGACATAGAAGGAATTTTAATATACATTAATTAATTATATTGAAATTTCAAGTGATCAATTACAGCTGTAACTGACATGGATAGAATCAATAACAAGTATCAATTATAGCTGATAAGTGACATAGATAGTAAGAATTTTAATGTACATTAATTAATTATATTAAAATTTCAAGTGATCAATTACAGCTGCAAGTTACATAGATAGAATCAATAACAAGTATATTATTATTATATCTTTCTTTAAATTTGTAAAATTACAGCTGATAAATTTAGAATTTATTATTAGATAGATAGAAGGAATTTTAATATACATTAATTAATGTACAGGCTAGAAGTAGTGATAAATAGAATGCATTTTAAAGTTATTACAAATACACTAGTGATAAATAGAATGCATTTTAAAGTTATTACAAATACACTAAATCACTAAAATATACTTTTTGAATATGTTATATAGATATTTATGTACATTATATTGTACCATAAGTTCCAATTTTTTGAGTAATAACAAGTATCAGTCACAGCTGATAAGTGGCATAAATAGAAGGAATTTTAATATACATTAATTAATGTATATATATGTAATATATGTAATATATCCAATTACTGAAAATTGGAACTTATGATACAATGCACATAATGCACATAAATATCTAAATATATCTAAAATGCATAAAATCTAGCCTGTACTGTTACACATATTTTCATGATTATTCAACTAATAGAATATACGATGAGTTTAAATTAAAATTGCACACATGTGACATGTTAAATAGATAAGATAAAAGAATTACATTTTGGGGTTTTTCTTAAGAGAACAAAGAAATTTAGAGAGAGGAAAGTCTCAGCTTTGCACTTGAAATTTAAAATCTGTGAAACGAGTTAATTAAATTAATTCTTGATTCATGATTGAAAGTGAAATTGGCGAATGAAATCCTGCAATTCCAAGCACGCGGTTATCTCAGCATTTCCTGCTAATCTGAATTGCCAATTCACGTTTATTGCATATCAGTGAACAGGCGAGCGTGTGTCACGTGTCTGGTCTGCATTTTTCACAAAGCGATTGGTCGTGTTACATTTTTGCACGATTTTCAACAAAGAAACTTTTTTATAACATGATCTTCCAATTCTTACTTCCTTCGTTCTCTCTCTTATCTTCTTTAGATACTCTTCTCATTTTTTTCTCTTTTTTATATTTGTACAGATCTTCTTAACATTTGTACAAATTTAAAGAAAGATATAATAATAATAATAATAAAAAAAAAGAAAAACTGACAGAAGAGATAATGATGCGTGCAGTTTTTATGACTTTACGGTTTTGACTTACTCTTCACACGTTCTAGTCCACACGCTGATAAAGGAACGAGTTGATTACAATTCTTTATCATCGTAACGAAGCTTTGAGGCTTACGCGTTCTAGAAATGATCGCCGGATTACCTGGTTTTATTGTCCTGAATTCGTTATGAACTTCGGCCATATCAGATCAATAAAGTTCTTTTTATCGATAAAATGTGACTTGCTGTTTAACAACAGCTTTAAACTGACCTAATTCGTTTTCGTCGAAGAGGGAGGAAATTCCATCGAAGAAAGAAGAAGAAGAGAAGTTATTCTCTCACCTGAAAAGAATTCATTTTTCGAGGACGATATTTTTTTTTCTTTCTTTTCTTTATCTGAACGCGACGAATTCAGGCGACTTTTACGATCCGAACGTGAATATATCTCACAACGTGCTGCACTGGTATCGTGCATGAAACACCTTGGCAGAACCAAGATGAAGTTCGTGCTACGAAAGTGAACGTCTACTAAGCATAATGCTTAACGATCGTATCTAATCGGCGTGCGCATTAAAACTCAGTTTTATTTTGCACGACTGAGGATCAGTGAAATCAGTCGTGCAGCAGTTCATCAAACATCCTCCAACAACATTATATCAAACTACCTGTTGCCAATTGAAAGAAATTATCCCTCCTATCTTATATACATATTTCTCTTCCTTCTTGATTGGTGTAATTAAATTTCCACGTTCTCATGCTGTCTTCTCTAATCTTAGTCTCCCTCGCACAATGAAGTGCAGTGAATCCCTGAAAAATTCATTGAAGAAGGTTTATCAAAAAATCGATCAATATTGTTTGTTATTAATACCAACAGTTTCGTGTTCTCCTTGGATCCATCAATTTCTTTCTTCAATGTGATTTTATTCCTGAATGTGAATTGTTGAAACTGTTTCAAGTGTTCTTCTTGGATCCATTAATTTCTTCCTTTAATGTGATTTTATTCCTAAATGTGAATTGTTGAACTGTTTCAAGTGTTCTTCTTGGATCCATTAATTTCTTTCTTGAATGTGATTTTATTCCTGAATGTGAATTGTACAAAGAAACAAAGGGACCCATCTTCCTCTGACACGAAGAATGATCAAATCTGATGAATTATTGAGAGTTATTAAGAGTTATTAAAAAGGATCATCAGAAGATATCTATAAGTCTCGAAGTTTCTTCTTGTGAGACAAAGTCGGCCACCATGGAGAAGAGTGGAGTTTACGTGAGAGATTTTACGGCAGTCCCTTTAATTGAGAATTGGAGAGGCTTTTCATTAACGGGCGGGATGTATTTTGCAGAAGGAAAATGGCTACACGAACGAGGCGTTCCAGATGGAAAACGTGTACTTGGAGCAGAGAGGGATGACCGACGAGAAACCAGGAAAGGAAGACATTGACGCTCAAGAGGAAAACACTGCAGTCGCCGTACGTTCGTTTTCAAAATGTCGAAAATCTTTGGATCCTCCGTGTCTCGGAATTTTCAGGACATTTCGAATCTCACGACCTTTCTCATGTAAAATTGACAGCTTCTTTTGTAATACTCGCAAAATTAGGTGAAAGCTTATAAAGTGAAACATTTAAACTAGCTTCATTCGAGTGAAAACATAAATAAAACTATTAAGTTTTCATTCATACAAACTATTAACATAGTTGATACGAATGAAAACTTAAATAAAACATTTAAACTAGTTTACTTAGATATGAATTCTTCAAAGCAGTCGCCAATGTGTAGTGATGGATTCAATAATGGTTGAACAACCATTTTATGTCCCCGTATTGGAGCCTTTCTTTTTCTAAGGCACAAGTGTCGAGTTATATAGAATACTTTCTCAACGCGTATTCTCTACTAGGAGATTTTTATTCAAGGTTTCTTTCCTTTCTTTATCGACGGGGTCACCCTGTCGAGTCATTTATGCCAATATCGTGCGACTTCGTGAGACAGACAGCGAAATCAATTTTGCATATCATTTCTATTCAAATGCCAGCAACTCTCCACGTCTTTTTCCCCAGAGAGCAGAATGGGGAGGCGGTCTGGAATTCTTGATGGCCTGCATCGCCGCTTCCGTTGGCCTAGGCAACGTATGGAGATTTCCGTTCACCGCTTACGAGAACGGGGGAGGTGCTTTCCTCATACCGTACCTCGTCGTCTTGCTCTTCGTCGGCAAGCCTTTTTATTACCTGGAAGGTCTCCTCGGTCAATTCACCAATAAATCATGCGTGAAAACCTGGGCCATGGCACCGGCCATGAAAGGTAACCAACGTTAATAATTTCAACTAATAATAACAACAACAAATGAAACGAATGTATTAGGCATCAGAAGTTGGTTCCTTACGACTTCCTCTTCTAGTGAATTTATAGCAAAACTAATTACTAGCTGGCCATTATTACATTGGTAGCCAGAGATCTTTACGTGAAATTTAAAAAATATCTATTAATAATGTTAATGATATTACTGTAATATTACTAATACAATAGTAATGATATTAATAATTTTATATTATAATATTATATATAATAATTTAAATACTATTATATTATATAATAGTAATAATATAAATGCTATTATATTATACTATTATAATATTATAATATAATAGTAATAATATTAATAATATTATCAGTATTAATTTATATATTAATATTAATATTAATAATATTATTACTATTATATTAATAATATTAATTATTATTAATATAATAATATTATTACTATTATTACTATATTAATATTAGTAATATTAATACTTTTATTACTATTATTACTATTATTATTATGTTAATATTAATAATATTAATACTATTATTACTATTATTACTATTATTACTATGTTAATATTAATAATATTATTACTATTAATAATTATTATTAATAAATAAATATAATTTAAATATAATTTATTATATATATTAATTTATTTATATATTATATATAATAATTTATATATTATATATTATAGTATAAATAAATATAATATATTATTATTAATATAATATAAATAAATATAATAATAATATAATTATAATAGTAATAATATTATAATTATTATAAATTATAATATTA